CTCATAGCTTTATGATTGTAAATTGTCATTCAGAAAGATTTAAGTTTCTCACAATAAAGCTGATGATAGCAAGAGATTAAAGGACAGGAGAAATCACAGAGGAACACACAAGCATGTAAGTTGCCAGCTAAGCAATGCAAACGGAAGGGAATCTGCATGACACCATTAACGCTTTGGTGCCAATAAAGGTGATCCCAGTACTTCGTCCCCAACGCATCTGCCTGCCTGCTGAGCACATGCTGTGTTTCTTGGGGCAGGGGATGGGAAGAAAGATGTGGAACGCTCCCCCAAAAACAAAGCAATCAATCCTGTAAACATTATCAGACTTCACTACCTAATGGAAACAAGATTCAAGTAAATTGCTGCAGAAAACGAACAGCTGAACACTGGTTTTAATCAGCATTAAACTAACTACAACTTGCAGCTTCATTACATTTCATGACAGTAATGTAATTAAGAAAAATGCATATAAAAAGCTGTGTTTATATACAAAATAAATTGATAGAAATGAGTGTAGTAAATGTGTTTCGTATTAAATCACTTTATATGCAGCTGCTCTCTTTGGTGCCATTTAGGGCTAGAAGAGCCTCTGGTGTTGCATACCTAGCTATTTTCTAGGTACCGTGAAAGATGTGTTCTTGATCTGCACTGAGTTAAAGTAGCCACTATTTGGAGTCTCTGTAAATTCACACCTGAATCCCCCGGTTATATACAATTTTAGACAGTGTCCTCAGAGAATATAGAAGCTCAAAGCTGTGTTTTGGTGTTTGTTTGGGTTTTTTTAAAATTTTTAATAAATATGGTCAGTGCTCCAGATCTAGGCAGATCTGGTTAATCTACGTCAGAGTCAACGCATCTGCTGGTAAATCTGCCAGACGCTAATGCTGCTGCAAATGCTTTTTTCTTCCTCCTGGGGCTCTGGTAAACTACAACTGGACCATACTTCACATAGATCCAGAAGTTCTTTGAGTGCATACCGAATGGTATTGAACTTAACCCAAACCTCCAAACCCTAAAAGATTATTTACAATACCGAAGAGCCACACGACATCAAATGAGGAAAAAACAGTCCCTGAAAACTGTAGGCATTTAGCGCTCTGGAGAACAGGACCAGGTTCTAAGAACAGCATACCAAAGGTAGCTTGGTACCTGCAAATTCCACACTCAAGGGGCAGCTTTAACAAAAATGTTACTATAATTTCTACTCAAATCACTAAAAACAGAAGTGCCCAAACTCCCTCTAGAATAACCCACTGAATATTTAAAGTGGAATTTTTTAATCAAAGGCTTAAGATGCATCTAACTTGTGACACGGCAATCTCTGGATAATACTGTAGGAAGTTAGTTATGACACGAACCTACACCTCGTCTCATAATAAGCCTTTGGTAGGAGCAGCAATGATGTGTATGTTGTACACTCCGTGAATAAATAACTGCAAGAAAAAAACCCCAGTATTAGCCATGTAGTTTTTTCTGTTTATGGATCTCCCTGCCTTCCCTTCACAGGGACAGGTTTATCATCTCAGGGAAAAATCACACTGAAATATTGCCCTGCATCAGGCTTCTGTCTTCACACTGGGAGTTTAATGTCATTTTGTGTGCATGATTTGTGTGTATGTAGATTTTTTGAAAAGAAAAAAGCTGTAAGAAATGCTAAAGTATAGTTTCTGATTGCAGCCAATGTCAATTATCCTACTGTAACTATAATACTATTTATAGCTTGCAATAGTAATTATTTCAATGGATCTAAAAGCTTAAGGGCTGTTACTTTTAGTGGCAATCTAGGTATTTTCAAGACTTGCTGATACAGAGTAGGTTACTAAAGCACAAAAACAGCACATACAACATGACCCAGCACCCTAAATAACTGTTTTCTCAGATGCAGCTCCCTCCTGGCTTCCTGAACGGGTAGGGCTGCGCTTCCTGCTGCATTCGCTGGAAGATTTCAGCTCTTCGGTGCCTGGGCCAAGAGGACCCATTTCCTGGAGCACCCCTACAGCCCCCCTGCCCCTGCTGGCAGCGATACCCAACTCTGCGCAACTCAACAGCCAAACAGCTGTTTGTCCTCACCAACTTTTTAACTGCTCTCTCATTTTGCCTATCCTGCTCTTTGATACAGCACAGAGTGCCCTTGCTTATGGCTAGGGTGCCGTCAGGACAGAACTCTGAAAGACAGAAGAGAAGACACTGTCCAGCTGCCTTTGATGTAATACCTGCTCTGCAGCCAGGGCCTGCCAGGAAAACCCGACCCCTCCATGCGGCTCACTGGTGTGCCCTTAGAGTTCATCAATACAATTCCCTTTGAGAACTTAATTCCTTTGTATCAGTCTGGGGTTTCTCTTAGGAACCAGTTCCCTGGGGGGAAAAAAGGCGGGGGCGGGGGGTTGGGGGTGGTGAATTTGGAAGAATTGTATTTGAATCATTTTACTACATTTTGTATTTGTCAAAGTGACCTTTCAGTTAGGCCTGCTTTTACAACAACAGTAACTCTGGCCTCAAGAGTAGCATAAGCACATTGCTCTCCTTTTCTTATCTGAAACATGAGAATAATCTGGGACAAACTGTACCCGTGATCTGCATAAAGATGTCAGAAACATCAGTTCTTCATGAAAAACCACAAAAATGTCCATCAGATGCACAAAGAACTGGTTTCAGAAGACCAGCACTTGCTAGAGAACACACATGGAGTTAGCCCAGTCTGTATTCTTACAGTTTTTCCCTGTAGATCAACTATCCTGACTTAAGAAATCAAACAAGTTATACCGATGTTAGCCTACAGTATATATACATTCATATGGGGGTATATCCAGCACTTTGGGGGGTGGGTGGGAGCAGAGACCATATTGCTCAATCAGTGATCATTACTGGAGACAGAGATTTTGCTTATAGTTCTGCTGTTATTAGAGACAGAGATTTTGCTTATAGTTCTGCTAGACGATGTCTGTTCCTGTGTGTGTTAGCTGTAATACACTGATGCAGTAAAAGCCAGATGATATCCCGGGCCCTCCACTACAGTTCCAATGGTGTTTGGGGATGCAGAGTTTGGTATTCGGCATGAGCCATTTGAAGTTGCAGTCTTCTGTCTCTGTCGTCTTCCCCAAGAAATTTTGCTGGTGCAATACTGCTGAGAGTTATATTCAGATGAGCACTTCTCACTTGACATTTGAGAAGAAAAAGCTAAACCTTTCAGATTAATGTGTAGCAAATGTTTCTGTAAGTTTTGAAATTAGCAAATGCTAAATTTCTTGTCCAAAGTTTGAAGAAACATTCTGCGACTTTTAAAAAACATGCAAGTTTGGACCATTACTTACGTCTCAAGAACATCCAACAGTGACCAAATCATGTTCGTAGGTTCTCAAAGTGTTCTTGTTCTAGAAGATTAGCATCTAAGAAAAATTTATTCTTTCCAAAGACAAAAAATACTTGTTTTAAAGCTTACAGTATGCTTGATACCTTAGTATCTCCATCATAAACATATTTTACTTAAACAGTAATCAGTCTGGGAGAGAAACCAAACAGGTTCTTTTGGTCCAGATCATCAACTCGGCTACTACCTTTAGCCTGTATCAAAAGGGCTCACCTCTATTTGAAATGAGCAATCAGCTGAACATCAGGAAAGTTACAGACAGGAAAATAGTATTTGTCACTTTTTCCAGGTGCAAAATTGCACCACCACCCAAAGATGAGTTAGCAGTCTTGTCTATAGAGGAGGGAGGGGGGGGAAGAAAACCCATGTTGCTTGCTGTAGGTCTTGAGCTTAGGATGGACTTTATTCCTCACACAGGAAACACATTTTGCCTTCTGTGAACAGGTACATCGCTGCACAAAGCACTCGATCTTTAGCAATTTCAGGATCACTTAAACTGGACTTGAAAGTGGCAGACTAGCATACAAATTTTCAGTGTGTTAACACAGATGTGTGATCCAACACTAACTTTCTCCTAAGTACTTGATATTTGTTTAAATGGTACTTTAGAACCAATAAAAACTTGTGCCTTTATTAAAAAGATAAAAGTATAAAACAGTATTTATAAACCATCAAGAGTCCCATAGAAAAAGCAGTACTCTTCCAGTTCTATTTTCTAACATCACACAACTGCAATAAGGTTTTTCTCAGGGGTACTTCACCACTCTGTTACTGCCTCATACAGGACACCGCAGGCATTAACAGAAAACGTAACAACTGTTAATTCCTGTACAGATTGGCTTTTCTTTGTATGCTGATAGACAATTCTTGGAAAGTAATAATCCATGTTTTTTCAACTAAAGAACGAGTCTGCTTCTTTGAGCTCTGTTCTTGATACAGTTAAATAAATCAAGTTAAAATGATGGAGGGGGCTCAATCCTATAGCGAAAAAGCAACACTGAAGTAAAAGGCTTTTACATTGTGGGCATTGTCTTGCTCCAAAGCACAGTTAGTAGAAGGAATCCTCAGTCCCCAAAGACTCGGAGAGCTATGATCATGGGGCAGACTGGTTAACAAGAAGAAGGAAGAAGACAGCATTCAGTCCCTTCCCCATCACCTGGTGTTTGAACTGTGTATAGTTGCACTTCAGACTCACTGGCCATGCTCTATGTTGATCTCCCTCCTCCTGGCCCCCACCTCCCTTTTTTTTTTTCCTCTGTATCCTGGAGAGCTGCTATGGAAGTGACTTCTGCAGTGCCTAAGGTATGAAGTTTGCCCGGGGGGAAGTAGGAGTCTCTGCAATCCACCCCCACCACCACGGCATAACTGAAATGCATAGTTCCCACTCTGGACCTTGTGTATCCAAGCAGGGCAATCCAGGATTTGGCCCTTTGGTAGCAGTATATAATTCAGTGTTGCATAAATGCACATTAAGAATCTTAAGGCATCTGTCTTAGCTTCCCTGCTCTGCAATAGTGCTTACAAGAATCCATTGTACTGTGCAGAAACTTGAATTTCTTGTCTCTTCCTAAAATGTTTGTGTTCCATTTTTACTGATCAACATCTTCCAAACAAAAATAAGTAATATTCAAGCACAAAATGTGTTGCAGAAACCTAATGAAACAAAAAAAGTAATTAATGGAATTATACTCTTAGCTTTGAAAAAAACAGATCACAGTGTATTACAAGAATGCAGCTAGGTAAGGTGATTTACAGACTCCTCATTCAGGACAGCAATTAAGTAACTCCAACTCATTATTAGCCTTCTAGGAGGTGTGGGTTTTTTTGGTTTGTTTTGGTTTTGTTTTAAACCTCTTATGTTTTAGAAGATTACCTGCACTAAGAACGTCAGTCCATCACCACTGACTGTGGCTGAAGTCTCTTGGATCCCTGACTGGCAAGAATTGCTCATTCATTTTGAATTAAACTGATAGATACGGGGACACAAATGATATTTGCCCAGGTGAGGCTGGGGGACTGCCGGCTGGGGGACTGGCCGCCTTTTGCAAACCATGCTCTTTTCTCTAGAATAATCTGGGAATTTTACTTGTCAGCTATGACTTTGAGTACTTCTGCTGTGTGTTACAGGCATAAAATTGAAAAATACAACTATCAGTCTGTTACAGGGTATACGAAAGTGCATGGAAGAGATGTTGGATCTCAGAGCTATTGCACAGTTGCTTACAATCTCAGGGGGACTGGAATTAACCACCTCGGCCTACAGAAACTGTGATCAAATCCAACTGAACTCAGAATGCTGAAACACTGTGCTACTGAATTAACCATTATTTGAGATAACACATACCAAAATGCTTTTGCACTGGGTGCAATTAAGCACTATTTATTTATACAACTTTTAAAACTACAGCAGTTTGGGCAAATGTGACACAAAGTACACAATCTCCCTTTATTAAATTTGGCCTGACTTAAGGAAGAGAGGGAGGATTGAAAGGAAATTCATCCCAAACTATTACCAGTTAGTTGTCTAACTTAAGCCAGTCCCTTACGCTCCATCCCTAGGTCAGTGGAAAGAAAGATTAAGACCTTTCTATAATACCTTATCAAAGGCTGCTGGGATGAACTCCTCTCAGAAGACATCTATTCCTTTCTCTGAAGGACAGAAAAGCCTTAGTAATCTGTTTAGATCAGATTAGGTTTTATATAGCTAGAGGCTGAAGAGAATCCCTTGCTTGGGACATTCGTTTGCACATTTATGAAGAAAAGTTGCAAAGGGAAAACTCATCATTGGTGGGTTCTCATGGTCGAGTACGTTTTTCAGAAGTACCACTAACTACTCTAATTTTGGTTTTATACGAGTTCACACTGAGCAGTCTGACCAACATCAGTCCAAGCATCACAATATCACACCATCCCCCACAAAGACCTTTCAGATTTTTTTCCTTGAAAACAAAGTTAACAGCCCCCCCCGCGTAATCCCACCAAAACAATGATTCTAGGTCAGAAGGCTTATTAAAAAAAAAAAAAAAGGAAAAAAGTGCTGGTGGTGGAAGTGGGGAAGGTAGCGGGGGTGAATGACTCTGCCCTCAGCATCTGCAGTTGCTAGTTGTCCAAATCAGATTAGTTTCTCTTCTGGAGAAAAAAATTTAATGGGAGCTTATAAACTCACCAGAGTATGAAGTCAACATAAAAGAAGTCTAATTTAATCACTGGAAATACACCAAGGGAAGTTTTCATACATGCAGCAGCACTCACTGTATTTCCTATATGCAAAATGCACGCAGAACTCTTACGTAAAAGAGGATCACTGTCAATTCCAAGTGTGACAAAGCATTCTGCATGCAGACACCTATATTTACCTATCGACCTTCCTTCCTTGCTTCTTCAACTATAAGAGCAGAGCCTGGCCCACCAATGACTAAGAAAAAGACAGTTAAGGAGCTGTTCCTTAAGAACACCACTTCCTCAAGGTGGCACTTCATCTTGAAATTGCCTATTTAGCAGATCAGATTCATTTCCCTGGTCAGGTAACAAATCGAGCACTACTCACTTCAATCTAAATTACAGGATCAGTCTGACTCATCTCAGATGTAGCCAGCCCATGTTTCCTGCACTACAGCACTACCCTCATTCTTGTCTTCTGGACAGTCATTCTGAGTTTTATTTAGACTTTTGTATTACTCATCCAACATCAAAGGACTCCTCTGCATTCCATGACTAGTGACTTTTGACTTCAAGATGTCTATTTTAGTTTACTCATACATATACAGAAATGGCAATCAAGTATGTTGGTCTTACCTGTTTCTCATTGAGATGGTTGGTTAGTAATAAGCTGAGATCAGCTTTCCAATGAAACTATAATATGCTTTTTTGCACCTAAAATGTGAGAGAATCTCAATTATGTGTTTTCACAGATTTGCACAACAAATAGCAAAGACTTGAAACCAGAAAGCATATTTATCGTGTTATGCCTATTTTAGAAAAATATTTTCCTCCCCCTAATCAAATGTAAAAAGATCCAAAAATCTCAGAACAGGAAGTGCAAAAGCGAGAATTATCCATCCATTACTTTAGTGTAATAACTCATTTTGAGGCAGAACATGGGACACAAGTTAGCCTTAAATTCTCAACGTGCTGACTTGGATTCTATGGAACAGATTTTCTTCTACTTGACACCAACCAGTTCCACAGGACTTTTCTGGACTTAAAAAACCTGGAAAAACCCACCACAAACAAAACCATAGAATCATCAGAAGTGTTATGGTGCAGGCTACCTGATTTAACATTTTCCTCTTCAGGGACACTTTCCGCCCACTGACTGTCACTGGCTAGCAATCGATTTTGTGATTCACTGAGTGGTCGAGTAGGAAAGGATTGATTGGCTCCAGAGCTGAAAAGTAAGCAAAGTCATCAGGAATTCTGTAATAGCAGTAGCTGCTTATTTCATAAATTTCTAGAGTAGTGAAGTTACTTAAGAGCAAAGCAAACAAACCAACCCATGCTGCCAACTAAAAACGGTCCCTTGCCCCCAACTCTGCTTCTCCTATAGCTTTGTTCTTGTCAGCAGTCTAAACTCTTACCTGACAAAGGCTGCTCACAGTTCTAACAGAAAAAAAGCACAGACTGACAGACAAGAAACGACATACTGACAACAATGCTACTGCCACACAGTTAAAAAGAAAACCTAACCAGTATTGTCTGGGAGAACAGCCTAATGCCATCTTATCCCATTAGTAAACGCTAGGGCCTTCTGCTAAACATCTTCCTAATGCAAAAGGATACTCTGCTGTTTGCACAAGGGTCCTGCTCTTGTGTAAATTCCACAGATTATGTTGCACTAGAAGCAACTTCTCAGTATTGCCTTGGCATCCCCCTAATGCCTGATAGCTCAGGTGACTGTTGTTGACAACAACCTTCAGCTACAAATTCACCAAACTATACAGAAGACTTCTAAAATGGCAAACTTAAACACCCTGGATGTTTCACATACTCCTGTGTCTTTGAATCTAAAGCAGGCTTCCTGAAAACACACTGAAGACACAAAACATGCAAATTTGGGAGGGATAACAAGTAATGTGCTAAAACCCCTCCAGTGCTAAAAACCAGCAATAGCCACCACAGTGATCTACCTCTCTTGCAAACTGTGTCTTCAGCATCCCTTGTTTAAGCATGCTGGAGGAGGTGAAATACAAATAATACCTTGCCTTTCTGTCATTCAAAAAAAAAAGTAAATCTTGAATTCCCCCCGCCCCCCCTCGGACCATTATTCAGTCTTCCCTAGGACTTTTTTGATTGTTGTTAAGAGCCAGTAAGCTCTTTTACTTTCTGTATCACTGTTTCCTTAGAGCCACATCCTCTGTTACAGGTCACAACCAAGAAACAGACTTTCTGCATCAAGCAGCACCATTTTTAAGTCTTGATCCATTCTGTCTTTCTCTGAAGACTTACAAACTCACTCTGAAAATGACAAGAAGTATAAAAACTTTAAAAATAATTTTGAAACAGTTTTTTCTCCAGATGAAGTAATGAACAGTACAAAATCAGTGTCTTACATGCTATAGTTACCTTTTGGCAGGTTCATTTTGGCTTGAGACAGTAAGTTGCTCTGGATCCATAATCACCAAACGAGTTGGAAAATTACACCCGTCACCCAAACTAAACCAGAAACAGAGATTCAAATTACTGTTTGTAGTTGACTTAAATGAACTGAACAAGTACCTGTGCAAAAGCTACAGGCTCAAATCATTTACTTGAATGCAGGGTTGAACTCCAGACTTGAGCAAGGCAGTCAGATGATCAGTTAATTAAATCTTCGAGTTCAAATGATTCCCACCCTATCACTCAGTGTGGATTACTGAGCACAGCACTAGTCTATGTATTTCAGAATCATCACTGTGTCTCTGTAGACTGTAGCCCTAGTCTTCCCCCACACCACTGTACACATGTAGTCAGACTCTCTGCTATTTACGACCCCAGAAGCTATAGCATAAATAACATTCTGGTAGCCATGCCTTCCCTTCCGTCCATCATTTTAAGGTCAGCTAAGCCTTCTTTTAAAGCAAGTTTAATCAGGATAAAATGTGGTGGCAAAACAGACTGATCCATCTACAATATAGCTTCTGTCTTTACTCACATGAAAAGTCATGGTAGTTGAGCAAACAGCTGAGGCAACACAAGATCTTATTGTTACCTCTGCTGTTTGCTACCAGATCTCAGCTTCACAAATGCATTCACCAACATTTTAAACTGATACACAACCCCTCAAAAGCAGTGTTGAAACATGGCTCCTACTTTGTTCTGCTGACTTTTCGGAGTGGTGGGAGTGGGCAGCAGGTCAGTCTTGCCTCATCAAGCTTCTCTAATGATTGTCTGCAACTCCCTAACACTGGCTCTGCTGAAGTTTTAAAACCCAGTATTTTGCATCGTATCAGAATTTTTTTTGCAGTGCTGCTTATTGACATGCACTTTCTCAGGTGGCTTTCAATAGCGAAACTGTCATCTATAGAAAAAGGAAAGCTGTCGAGTGTTTTCAGGGGTAAGAGGGGGTGCTTTTAAACTGATGTTATTTCAATGCAGCTGAACTTCAAGCATTTGGATCTCCTCTGAGTTGCTGATTTCTGCTCTATAATCAGACACTAATACTACCACCAAAAGGTGTACAATTTTTGAAATACACTTCTCAAAGTTCTCCAAATTTCCATATTTAGAAGGCCCTTGTCTTTGGCCAAAACCCTGTGCAGAGTTTGCTCAGTTTCCTCCTGCACATTTTCC